GTTCGCCATGAACTCCGAGGCCCTGGGGGCCCTCGATTGCTCCTGCTGGCGTGTTGGGGGGCCCCTTCGAGTCTGGGGGGCCCTCTGAGGATTTTAAATGGTGAAAAAAAGGGAAAAAAAGATTAAAAATGGGTTTAATGGCTCAAATTGAAGTGGAAGTGGCAGAAGGCGCGCGCGGGCGCAGCAGAAGCCACCAAGGATGGCTGCAGCGCGGGGAGGGCCGCTGGGTGGATTCTTTCGGGATTTGCTGCTCTCTGAGGAAATAAAAGACGAAATTTAATTCTAAAACTAAATCTAAAAAGGAAAATTCGAGAAAATTCACCGAAAATAAAACTGAACGGAGTCGCGCCGCCGCAGCCACAGCGACCACTGGCACGCGGTGTCCGTACACCGCAGGGCTTCACAGATGCTTATTGAAACGGCGGGATAAAATGCGGAGTTTTTCAAAGGAAAGCTTTTAATTCCTTCTAATTTTCAATTATGATGCATAAATTCAAAGTTTTAACGAGTGGGACTGCAGTTTTCGCGCGGAACCTGCGCATACACTCGAGAGCACCTGCAGATACACCGCAAGATGGCCGCAGCGCCCGCGCCCGCGGGGCCGCCAGCGAAAGCCACTGCAAAATTGCACTTAATTTACCATTTAATTGTTTTTATTTTCAAATATAAACCCTTTTAATCCATTTTTCCGGCATTTCCCCTCTTTCTGCAGCTCTAGACTGCCCCGACGTCACCCCGCTTGTCACCTGAGCCCCTCGCTCTGTCTGGGCCCTAAAGCGCCGGCTGCAGCTTTTGCTGCAGCAGCGCAGCAGCAACAGCAGCAGCAGCAACAGCAACAGCAGCTTTTGTTTCTTTCCACTTCAGACAGAAGTGCCCGCGGGGTGTTGAGCTTCCAAATTTAATCTTGAAAAAGCTAAAGAGGGACAGAAGAAAGAAATGCAAATACCCCAAAAGTCCCATCAACTCGAATATTTTATAATATAAATTAACATAAGTATAAATATAAATATAATAGATATATATAAACATATATATATGTATATACGTATATATATATACATTAAATATAGATAAATATGTGTATTTATATGTATAATTCTTTTGGAGTCTTATTTGTTATAATATATATATATTTATATTAATGGCAAACAAGAAATTTATTTAAATTTATTTTTTTAAAATGGTCAGATCTGTTTTTTCTTTTTGAAGTGTATGAATGCACTCCAGGTGTCTGTACACCTCAGCACCTCAGCGCAGCAGAGCCTCCCTGCTGCTGTCCCCGCAGCTAAACTCTAAACCCTAAACCCTAAACCCTAAACCCTAAAACCGTAGGCCCTAAGCCCTAAACCGTAAACCCTAAACCCTCGCTAGGGAGCCCTTGGGGCCCTCTTTAGTGAGCTTAACTGTTATTGAGGAAACAAGGGATATTTTTTGTTTGTTTTTAGTTGATTTATTTCTTTCTTCAGAAGTAAATGGGTTTTATTCTTTTATTTCTCTAATTTCTTTAATTTCCTTAATTTCTTTTATTTATTTTGCTTCTTTAAAGGTCAAATGCCTTCTATTTCGTTTAGGGGTGGAGGGCCAGCAGCGCACAAGAGCCCTTCAGATTTTGCTGCGTGGCTAGAGGGCAGCAACGGGAGCAGCAGCAACAGCAGCAGCAGCAATGGTAAAAGGAGCAGCAGCAGCAGGGCAGTTCCAGCAGCAAGGAATCAATCAGCAGCGCCAGCAGTAGCAGCAAACAGCACTCCTGCGGCAGCAGTTCCATAGAACAAGCAGCGGCACAGACAATTGCAGCAGCAGCAGCAGCAGCAAACAATCGGACCTTCTGGGACCTTCTGGGTGTAGCCAAAGCCCTAGTGCTGCTGTTGCTGCTTCTACTGCTTCTGCTGCTTCTGCTCGGTATTGCCTGTGCTCCGCTACTCCTGCTGCTGCTGCTGCTTCCGCTGCTGCCGCTGCTGCTGCCGCTGCTACTGTTGCTGCTGCTGCTGCTGCTGCTGCTTGTGGGCGCGCGCCGTAGAAGCCATTAGCCGCAGCTTTGGGAAACATAAATTCCCAAAAAAGAATTAAAATTAAAATGGCATTAAAAGAAAACAGAAGTTCTTTTGATTGCAGTTTAGTGAAAAGAAAGTCATTTTGGAATAGTTCTGCTGTGGCACTATCGCTGCTGCTGCTGCAAATGGGTTTTCTGTTTTGTTCCTGAATTTAATTTGACACAAAAATGAAAATAAATAAAATATTAATATAAATAAATGCAAAGAGATGAAATTTGCTGCAGCAGCAGCAGCTAACTGTGGGTGGCTCGTTCCCGCTCCTCGGGTGTACGTACACCTCGGCGCGGCGGCGCCGGCGGCTCCTCCTGCGTTTTGCGGCGAATTAAATAAATAAAATTTTAAAATTGTTGCATTTGAATTATGAATTGAATTTGTCTTTTTATTTGATCCAGATCTGCAGCAAAAGGGCCTTGGCTCGACCGCTCCTGATGTGGCAGCAGCAGCAGCAGCAGCAGCAGCAGCAGCAGCCACAGGCGAGGCTCGCTGGGCGCCTTGCAGGTTAGAAGCAGCAGCTGAATTAAACTGCTGAAAACGAAAAGTAAATGAAGCATTAAGGCTTGGGATTGGGAGAGTGCTTGTGCTGCTGCTGCTGCTGCTGCTGCAGCAGCAGCATCGCTCGGGGGCTCCAGGGGTCCTCCTTTCTCGTTTGGGGCTTTTCTTCCACCGTTTTCCCGCATTCTTCCCCTCCAGTTGTTTTATTTTAATTTATAATTCGAATTTGAAGGTCTAAAACGGCCAAAAGGTCGCACAGGGCCTCTAATGCAGCAGTTGCGACTATGGGGGCACCGCAGCAGCAGCGTGGCTCCCTCGTGGGGCCTCGGGGGCCCCCCTTTTCCCCTTTTTCTTTTCTTCTAATCTTTCTCTATTTGATTTTGTCTCCTCTTGTCTTTTTGCCAATCTTGGGGGGCCCCAGCGGCGTGTCGTTTGCTGCAGCAGGGCCTGCGGATCGCGGCTCCCCTGCTGCTGCTGCTGCGGATCCTTCTGCTGCTGCTGCTGCTGCTGCAGCCGCCCCTGCAGCTGCTTCTGCTGCCGCCCTTCCCGGAGGGGCTGGTGCAGCGGCAGCTGCAGCGCCTGCTGCGGCCCCCGCTGCTGCTTCGGCCGCAGCTCCCGCTGCAGCTGCGGCTGAACCCCGCGCTGCAGCTGCTGCTGCAGCTCGCGCTGCACCTTCTGCTGCAGGCGCTGCTGCAGGCGCTGCTGCGGCGCCTGCCGCAGCCGCTGCTGCAGGTGCCGGCGCAGCAGGAGCTGCAGCAGGAGGCGCAGCAGCCAGCAGCGCGGGGGCGGGGCGGCCGCGCTCGCGGACAGCAGCAGCAGCAGCAGCAGCAGCAGCAGCAGCAGCAGTGCGGACGCCGCCGGGGAGCGTGGCGGAGGCGGAAGCAGCAGCAGCAAAGTGGGTCTGCGGGCCAGACACAAACCTTTATTTCTTTATTGCAAATCCCACTTCTGGGGATCGACTTGGGGAGAAGTTTTTGAAAAGATTGCCCTTGGGAGCAGCAGCAATTGGCTGCAGCAGCGTGATGGTCTTTTCGCAGAAAGATGCTGCTTCGATGTCTTTGGCGCTGCGCTACATCGCAGCAGCAGCAGCAACTCGCGAGCTGCTGCACCTCGGCCGCCAGCAGCGGGAAGCAGCAGAAGCAGCAGCAGCAGCAGCAAAGGCGGCAGCAAAGCTGCAGAAGGCGCGGGCTGCTGCAGCGGGCGGCGGCGCGGGCGCCGCCGCTGCTGCTGCGGGGGCGGAGGAGGCCGCTGCTGCAGCAGCAGCAGCAGCAGCAGCAGCAGCAGCAGCAGCAGCGGGAGGCGCAGCAGCAGTGCCGCTCTCGGACCGCGTGCGCGTTATTGCTGTTGGAGGCGACGGAGCGTTCAACGGAATGCTGCAGTCTTTGAAGAGTTTCAAACTGGTGGAAAACGAAAAAGAAATAAATAAAAATAAAAAAAATAGAAATAAAACTTTCCAAAATATCAACTTGAACTTCGTTGCTGCTGGCATTGTGCCCTCCGGCACGGGAAACGACTGGGCCAATTCTTACGGCTGGACCCGGGCCAGTTTCCCCCGCAAAAACCCTCTCCGCAGAAAAAAGTAATTAATTGATTGATTAATTAATTAATTAATTAATTAATTAATTAATTAATTAATTAATTTGTTGTTTTGGTTTGGTGGCTTGTTTTGGCGTTTTTTCGAGGGGTCTGCTGCTGCTGCAGCCGCCTGGCTGCTCCAAACCCTAAACCCTAAACCCTAAACCCTAAACCCTCAAGAGCCCCTAACTCCTAAACCCTAAAGCCTGCTTGTAAACGCGAGACCCTGAAACCGTAAACCCTAAACCCGAGATCTCAGTCTGTGAGCGCTGACCGCCGCGAAACCGCAAACCCTAAACCCTAAACCCTAATTTGGGGTTTGCGCGCGTTGCTGCAGCTTCACGCGGCTGCTGAACACTCTGGAGTCTTCGGTGTTGGCGCAGCACGACTGCTGGAAAGTAACAGTAGCAGCAAAAAAAGGGTTTAGGGCTTTTAGTGCTGCAGCGCAGCAGCTGCAGCAACTTGGCCCAGACCGCCACGGCAGCGAACTCAAGAAAACCTTCTTCATGAGCAACTACTTCAGCCTCGGGTCCGCGAGGGTTTAGGGTTTAGGGTTTAGGGTTTGGGGTTTGGGGTTTGGGGTTTAAGGTTGGGGAGGGACGCGGGCGTGGCGCTTAGGGTGGGGAGGGCCTCGGGTTGAGGGTTTAGGGTTTAGGGTTTAGGGTTTAGGGTTTAGGGTTTGTGTGGGCAGGTTCGAGGGTTTGGTGGGCACGGACTTCGACCGCGTGCGGGGCTCTTCGCGTTTGTGGAACCGGGGGGTTTATTTCTTTTTGTTTTTGCGCCATTTAAAAACAAAACCCTTTTTATGTTCTCGAATTGACACAATTTATTCTTTCAATCCAAACTTTGTTGCTCTCCTCAGCAACAGCAGCAGATACACCCGAGTCCCCTCGCTCAAGCGTGAGCTCCCGGTGTACATACACCTCAAACTGCCCCCGGTTTGCTGCTGCTCTCTTCGTTTATTAGCATCATCATTTATTTATTTATTACTTATCCACATATTATTTATTTGTTTATTTATTTTGATTTGTTTTTTGTTTGCTTTGCTGCTGCTGGGTGTGTGTGGCCACTTTGGGTGTTTCTTTGCTGCTGCTGCTGCTGCTGCTGCTGCGAGTGCAGCAGCAGAAGTGCATTTTTGATTTTTTGGGGAATAAATATCTCCTTTTTCCGCGAAAACGTTCGGCTTGTTTGTCCTTTAATTTCCCAACTATATTTTCTGTTTATTTGTCTTCAATTGCATGCAAAAGAGCTCTTTTCAAACATTATTTCCTTCTTTTTGCGCATGCAGCCTGCGTCTCCATCACCTTCATGAACTCCCTCACAATGTTCGGGGGGATCAAAATGTGGGGCCCCTCCATGAAGGTGGGCCTCGAGCCCCCTGCGGTTCTTTCGGGGCTCCTGGGGGCCCCCCAGGGGGCCCCCCAGGGGGCCCCCCAGAAAGCTCCCGAGGGGGCCCCTGAGGGGGCCCCTGAAGGTGGCGGTGGTGCTGCTGCGGGGGCCCCCGAAGGAGCAGCGGAGGGGATGGCGGCTGGGGAGGGGTCGCCCAGAAAGCCTGCAGCAGCAGCAGCAGCAGCAGCAGCAGCAGCAGACTATTCTTTGTATTTAAAGGAGCTGCTGGCAGCTCGCCAAGACCCTGGAGATGGAAAGGTGGAAGTTTTCTCCATGGGGTCCACTGTGGACTATGTGCAGGCCCAAGCTGTGGGTTTAAACTTTTTAATTCTTTTTCTTCTTTTGCCTTCTTTTTTGTTTTTTTCTTTTTTGTTCTTTTTGCTTTCTTTTTCTTTTTTGTTCTTCTGCATTATCTTTGCATTCTTTTCTGTTATTTTTCCATTCTTCTTACAGTTTTTCTGCTTTTTTTGCATTTTTCTGCTTTTTTTGGATTTCTTTTTGGATTCTTTTTTGTTCTTTTTGCATTTTGAGCTTTTTATTGCACGAGTGTCTCGCAGCAAAACAAATTAAAGGTTTAGGCCCCGCGAGGGGGACCGAAAAACATGAGATGCTGCTGCTGTTGCTGCTGCTGTTGCTGTTGCTGCTGTTGCTGCTGCTGCTGCTGCAAGCTGGGCTTTTTTTTGTTTTGGCTGCAGCTGAGTATGCGTGTGTCTTTTTGTTTTTTTTTGTTTTTGTTTTAATTCATCGTTTTGTCTAATGTTTCCTGTCATTTGTTTCACTCCGTGGATCTGTTTAAGTGCTACATTTAATTGGAACAAAACGAGCAAAGTAAATAAATAAAAAGAATTAAATCTGGCGCATGCATGCAGAGGCGCTGGGGTGTACGTACAGGTGGGAGCCAACGCGGCGCAGCGGCTGCTGCAGGGAAAAGGTCCATTTTTTGTGACTTTTAAAGATGAAGAAGAAAAAGAAATGCCAATTCAAGTGGATGGAGAGTTTTATTTAGTTGGTGGGATTGAAAGTGTGTTGGTGCAGCGGCTGGGGGCGTTCGGAGTGCTGCAGTATGTGCAGTAGTTCTTTTTAGTGCAGAAAAATAAAATTAAAATTCAAAACTCCCGAAATAGCTTTTCCCGGGACTTTTGGCGCTTTTCCGCGCATGCAGGTGCATGCACACAGCCCCGAAGCACCTGCATGCGCTTGCATGCGTTTGCATGCGCTTGCATGCGCTTGCATGCGCTGGAGATGTTTATGTGGGGAAAAGCTCCTTAAATGTATATATCCGTTATGTACATTTGTTTTATATTCCATCTAATATATGCATTTCCATCCCGGGACAAATAGAATTCAAAAGTCTTACTTGCACAAACGCGAATTCGCTTTCCATTTTTGGAGTGTATGTACACCCCGCGCGAAGTGCACGCAACGTCTGCGGTGTACGTACACCGCAGAAGGCGCAGCCAACTGCATGCGCATGCACCAGAGCTTCATAAAGACACTTCGGAATTAAACTGCAGAAAGTGCATGCAGAATTAATTTAATTGAATGCTTATTTCGGCTTTTGGCGCGTTTTGAATTTATTTCCAACTTCTTTCCAGGGGAGTTCCGGGATTCCTCGTTTGCACATGTTTGCCGCGGAAATCCAATTAATTAACAATTGATTCATAATTAATTAATTAATTGTTAATTGGTTAATAATTAATTGTTAATTAATTGTTAAATGCAAACTGCAAAGAAGACCCGCGCGCAGAACAGGTTAGAGAGCTGCGGTGTACATACACTTGTACACACCTGGTGTATATTTTGTACATTTTCGATTTATGGAAAGTTCATTTTATTATATTTATTTTACATATATAATATATATATTTATTTATATATTTATTAAGATTTATATTATATATGTAATTTATTTATAATACTCTGCATATGTGTAAAGAGGCAAAAAGTACTTTGTTCAAACGAGGTGTACGTACACCCCACAG